GTATTTGTCCTTTGTTACTGATTTATTTCACTTAGGATATTGTCTTCAAGGTTCATCCATTATGTAGTAGAATTTCCTTCCTTTATAAGGCTGAGTAATACACACACATATATGCCACACTTTGGTTTGGGGGGAGTTTTTGGAGGTTTTTTTTGAGACAAGGTCTCTGTTGCATAGTCTAAAGTGCAGTGGTGTGATCATAGCTCACTGCAACCTCAAACTCCTGGGCTCAAGCAATCCTACTGCCTTAGCCTTGTTAGCTTGGACAACGACTGGGCACCATTACCCCAACTACTTTTTCTAGTTTTTTGTAGTGAAAAGGTCTTCCTAAATTGCCCAGGCTGGTATCACACTCCTGGCCTCAAACTATCCTCCTGCCTCAGCCTCCCCAAATGCTAGGATTACAGGTATGAGCCCCTACATGCCTGGCCCCACATTTTGTTTATCCGTTATTCCATCTATCCATGGCCCTTTGCCCATTTTTTAAGTGGGTTGTTTGTTTTTATTGCTGAGTTTAGATTTATGTTTGACATGCATGAGCAGAGTACAGTTGCATGTGGTGATGTGGTGTATTTGGTGGTCAGGAGTGCGCTTTCAGAGAAGCAGAATAGTACAGCAGAAAAACATGTAACTTTGGATCTAAATACGAGTACCACAACTTACTAGTTATATAAATTTGACCTTCAGACTTCTGAGCCATAAATGGACATCATAGCCTCTAGGAAGGATTGTTGTGAAGATTAACTAGGTAGTTCCCTAGCAAGGTCCATCTGTAAACCTGTTTCATTCTCCTTGGTGGTTGTGTTGCTGCTGCTGCTGCTCTGACTATTTCTGCTTCCCTTCTTTGGAGCACATAGTAAACTTGGATCTAAGCATCATATCATTGGACCCAACTAGTTCAAACAAAAACCTCAGTGCCACTATTCATTGTAACACTTAAATATCACTAAAGAAAAGTATTGGAGGCCCAGTGGCTCACACCTGTAATCCTAGCACCCTGAGAGGCTGAGGCAGGAGAACTGTTTTTAGCCCAAGAGATAGAGCTTACAGTGAGCTATGATGACACCATTGTACTCTACCCAGGGTGAAAGAGTGAGAATCTGTCAAAAAAAAAAGTTTTGGAATAGTTAAGGCTGTAACTTTGAGGGAGTTTTTTTTTGGGGGGGGGGGAGCAGAGGGGGAGTCTTAGAATGATGCCATGTCGCCATGTTCCCCCTTTAGACTATTGTGCTATTATTCTTAGATAAATTCCATTTATTAAGGTTTCAAAATAGTAATTATTCTGAGTCTTTTTTGAAGGATATTTTCATTTCTTTAGGACATTTTCTATTGTTCTTGTTTTGGATCTTTCAAAACCTAATGACCTTTGGCCCACCATGGAAAATCTGTTGCAAGCCACAAGGAGTCATGTAGATAAAATGATAATGAAACTTGGAAAAACAAATTCTAAAGCAGCTTCTGAGATGAGACAGAAGATGTGGAGTAATATGCAGAAGGACCATCCAGTGAGTAGCTATTAGGATTATTCCTGCAATCCTTAGCTCCATACATAGTTGAGGGTAACATTACAAACTTCTGTAGATTTTTATGCATGACTTAAAATTCATTTGACCTAGATGAACCTGTTCACTGGAAAATTATAGCAATTTAATAAAACCTCACTAAGAGCAAAACAAGGAAAAAGATTTCTTACGTGTTCTTGTTAGACATCTACTGTGATTGTTATGGCATATTACACCAATCTAAGAAATAGAGTTTTAAAGTAGTAGGTTGATAGTGATTTTTTAATCTCTTTTAAATGAATAAAAAAAAAACCCAGCCTGTATAAAAGTTACCTGTGAAGGAATAGATGAAGCTACAAATTAAGCAAAGAGTAGAGTTTTAACAGCTTTCATCATCACTCTGTATTTTACATTCATTTAGTGTCTGTCACATGTTCAATCTTTTACTATCTGACAACTTACTAAATTATGAAGCTGCTGTGATAACACAAGTTCTTGAAATATAGTTATGAACGTCATCATCTAGAAAGATAAGAACAGCATTTTATGTTGCCCAGAGGCAATATTGGAACAAATTTATATAGGCAATATTGGAACAAAACAAATCCATGCTGTAGAAATGCTGTTGCAACGAACAGTTAACATAAAATAGAAAAAAACCTCAGGAAGAGATTATGTTGTATAAGGAAATAAAAGGGAAGAAAAAGGAAAAGAATAAATACCATAGTAGTTGAGGGAATTGCTGTTTTTAGTTTTATACTGTGGCATCACAGCTCACAGCAACCTCAAACTTTTGGGCTCAAGTGATTCTCTTGCCTCAGGCTCCCAAGTAGCTGGTGAAAGTTAAATATTGGAAGAAATTGTATGTGAAGCAGGCAAAGTCAACATCAACAGAAGGGACTGAAAGTGGTATTCTTAGACGTACATAGAAGTTGCTGAGCATATAGCAGTAAATACTTATAATAAATCAATGAAATATATTTATTAACAGGATCGTGAATTAATTGACCCATTTCCAATACCTCTGGTCATAATTGGAAGTAAATATGATATTTTTCAGGTAAGTTCTTCTGCTTCTAATTGGTTTTACTATGTATGCATAGTTATACTTCATGGGGGAGATACAAAAATAATGATGAAATAAGAAAATGACTCTGGGAGGGATAGGGTAAGGAGTCACACATCTTAAAGATTTTGGAGGGGAAGATATAGTTGAAATAGAATAGCAGTAAAGAAGGTAAATACAGTAGTTTAAATAGGGATAAAGCACAAGATTTAGAAAGTGAATCTTCAACTCAGTCACCAAGGGATAAGACTTATTTCCCAATTTTTATTTTATTTTTTTTGAGACAGAGTCTCACTATATTGCCCTTGGTAGACTGCTGTGGCATCACAGCTCACAGCAACCTCAAACTCTTGGGCTCAAGTGATTCTCTTGCCTCAGGCTCCCAAGTAGCTGGGACTACAGGTGCCCACCACAACACCTGGCTATTTTTTGTTGTTATCATTGTTGTTTAGCCAAGCCTGGGCCAGGTTTGAACCCACCAGCCCCAGTGTATGTAGCTGGTGCCCTAACCACTGAGCTACAGGCACCGAGCCTCAATTTTTAAATTGAAGAAAATTGAAAATTTTTTTCTAATTTGCTTGTCAGAATCATTAAGATATTCTACACTATAAAATATGTGCTTAGATCTAAATTCTATTGAGCTAAACGTTTAAACAAAGATCTCACTCTAGAAGACTGCAGCTATAGTTCAACTTTCTGTAGAAACAAATGCATATCAAGGTATTGAAATCCTACTCCTCAGGGTGGGTTTATAAAAACATTCTATTTCTACATTTAATAATTTATATCTTCCTGTAGATATTTACTTCTTTCTCCTTCTTGTTCCTTTTAAATGACATATTTCTACAGGATTTTGACTCTGAGAAGAGAAAAGTAATATGCAAGACACTTCGATTTGTTGCACATTATTATGGAGCATCATTAATGGTTTGTACATTTCCTGTCCTTTGGGCTTGCATGGACAGTACCAAATTTGGAAAAATTAGCAGATTCATAGCTATGCATAATAATGAATCACTGGATTCACAGCTATGCATAATAATGCTAAGTACACGTCCCCTCCTTTCCTCTCCCGTTGTCAAAGACCTCTTCCAGGGCACCTGCAATTGCAGCCATAGCATGTTCACTGCTGGATGGTCTACCCTGTCTTTGTGACAGAAGTTTTAAATTGCTTCTACCCATAACCCCAATAAAGCTTAAAGAGATAAATTGGTATATTTATTGTCAGTAAAGATATTTATTGTGTTCCTTTAGGAACTAGAATTGTATCACCCTAAAGGAAAAACAACCAAACTTTCACAGTGTGTTGTTATTGTTGTTTTTATTTTTAAAAAGTGCTATTTAGGCCATGCATGGTGACTCATACCTATAATCCTAGCACTTTGGGAGGCTGAGGCAAGAAGATCACTTGAGGCCTGGAGTTCAAGACCAGCCTGAGCATGAGTGAGACCCATCTCTACAAAAAAATAGAAAAATTAACCAGGTGTGGTGGCTTCCCCTTCAGTCCCAGCTACTCTGGAGGCTAAAGCAGTAGGATTGCTTGAGCCTAGGAGTTCAAGGTTACAGTGAGCTATGATGAGGCCACTGCACTTCAGTCTGAGTGACAGAGGAAGACTCTATCTCCAAAAAAATAAACAAATAAAAATAAGACAAATACTATTTGTTATAGAAGTTGAAAATATGGGCCAGGCGCAGTGGCTCACACCTGTAATCCCACCACTTGGGCTTGAGAGGCCCAGCTGGGTGGATTGTCTGAGCTCATAGGTTGGAGACCAGCCTGAACAACAGCGAGACCTCATCTCTAAAAATAGCCAGGCGTTGTGGTAGGTACCCACAGTCCCAGCTACTTGGGAAGCTGAGGCAAGAGAATCTCTTGAGCCCAAAAGTTCGAGGTTGCTGTGAGCTATGACACCACCACACTCTATCGAGGGCGACAAAGTCAGACTCTGTCTCAAAAAAAAAAAAAGAAGTTGGAAACATGAGCTCTGAAGTCATGCTTCCTGGCCTCAAATCTCAGGACAACTATTTACTAGACAAGTGATTTTAGACAAGTCACTTAATCTCACTTAAACCTTACAGTCCTCTAGGGTGAAATGGATAAAATTAGTACCTTATTCATAGGATTGTTGTGAGAATTAAAAGAGGGAATACATGTGAAATGTTTAGCACAGGGCCTGGAACAAAGCATCACTCAATTAACATTATTATAATTACTGTTATCATTATCTTCCATAGCAGGACCAAATTTTGCTGGATGTTCTTAAATGCACTAAACTGTAAAAGCATTTTTATTTTAAAAAATACTGCTTCACATTTGAATGATTATTGAATGGTGTCTTTTTTCTCTCTAAATCAAAGCACTCAGATGAACCTAGAGACTGCGTGTTCTAGCCCTGGCTTTCATGGCTGGAATATTATGACTGAAAGTAATGTCTATAATATCTATTTTTAATTCTTAGCCTTTTCAGAACATTCCAAATGTGTTTTCTTAAAAATAAACACCTTTTATGTTTGAATTATATTTGCTTACATAATGAAGTTGGTTGACAGAGTATTTGGAAAATATCCTTCTTTATTATTTTGAAAAGATATGGAAAATTTAAAGTGAATGACTTATCCAAGGTAGAGGCAACAACCTTGCAGTTCCTTGTTTTTGCCCCTTGATAATGCTACACATTTAATTCTGGTTAAAGTTAGCTATAGGAGATCCCTGTATTTCTGTAGGAATAGACCACACTTGAAGTCATCATTCAGCGTTCAGTCTGTTCTTACAGGTAAAAACATGGATGAAGTCAGGTCAGAGTAGGCCACAGAAGGTCTGGAATTACCCATGCCTCAGAAGATCCTAAATTAGGAAATCAGAGACCAAGGGAAGGATCTAAGAAGGACTTCATCTCAGCTTTCAAGGGAAGGAGGGATGGGGTTAGTGGAGTTCTTCAGGACCACCAAAGGAACCAAAGGCCTTTCTAGCTTCCCAAACCAAAGAGAGTATAGCCAATGTAATCAAAGACCTATCTTTCGGTTTTACATCTCCTCTTACCCTCTACTCCATTTAAGGGGGAATGTTGGATACTGCCTTGCAAGATTCCTTGATATCAAGCAGTTTTTTTTTCCAACACTGTAATTGATCCTTAATAGTTCAGTTGAGAATATTGATTAAATATTCTGAATAATCTAATAAAGTCAATAAAAATAAAACTAGGAAAATACTGATGAGTAGCAACAGGTACAGAGGAGAGCTACCAGGATGGTAGGGCACTTAAATTACTGTATTTGAGGATGAGTATAATGTCATCTAAAATGTAGTAACTCTCTTTAACCAGTTGAACTATCCCATAGAAAAGAGATTAAATGTATTCTTTGCTCTCCTAGAGTCAAGAAAAAAGAACCAATAGAGAAAAGTTTAATCAAAATAAGCAAGCTGGGCATGGTGGCTCATGCCTATAATCCTAGCACTCTAGTTGGCCAAGATAGGTGGATTGCCTGAGTTTAGAAGTTTGAGACTAGCCTGAGCGAGAGTGAGACGCCGTCTCTACTAAAAATAGAAAAACCAGCCAGGTGTTGTGGCGGGTGCCTATAGTCCCAGCTACTTGGGAGGCTGAGGCAAGAGCCTCACTTGAGCCCAAGAGTTTGAGGTTGCTGTGAGCAAAATAAGAAAGAATTTTCTGATACTACCATTATCTGAAAAATAAGAAAGAATTTTCTAACACTCCATTATCTAAAATTAGAATGAGGGCAGTGCCTGTGGCTCAAAGGAGTAAGGAGCCGGCCCCATATGCCAAAGGTGGCAGGTTCAAACCCAGCCTTGGCCAAAAACTGAAAAAAAAAAGAATATAAAATAAATAAATAAATAAAAAATAAAATTAGAATGAGCTGAGAGATGAGTTTCTAGGCATTGAATTTGCTCAAGTAGAAGGTTTATAGCTATTTGTGGAGGATGTTTTAGAGGTGA